ACGACACCACTATGTTTGTACAGTTCTACATAGAAACTTACTAGCTATATATATATATATATATATATATACAGCAAACCAAGGTTGGCAGTATATTGCAAACTGACCGCTGTCGTAAACAAACACGTCGACTAGTATTTAGTAGTGTGATTGAGGCTGCATTTAAAACAAAACCTTAATATATAATCACCATGGCGTACACAATTTGGCAACAGGTGGCGTCTGAGGGTATCGCCATGATGGTGGCCATCTGGCTGGGTGAGAGCTTACTTGCTTGTGAGGTATGTTGAAGCTTTATATGGTCAGGGTTGCGTGTGGGATATGCTATCTCTTGTCATTGTTTTAGACTAGACCCTGTGTGGTGTTTATAGGTAACTGCATGTAAGGCCCAGTGTCCAGCACGCTTTGGCTTACTGCGGGTTGTATCCACTTTGTCTAATTGTTTGACTGTGCGTGTAAGGATGGTCTCTATTGATCTATCATGTGTATCACAGGTTTCTCGTAAGTATATTAGAATACTCAGTTTACTGGCATTTCGTTCACATAAGCATACCTGTGTGTGTGCGTGCGTGTGTGTGCGTGCGTGTGTGTGTGTGCGTGTGTGTGTGTGCGTGTGTGTGCGTGTGTGTGCGTGTGTGTGTGTGCGTGCCTTGCTTATTTGCTGTGTTCGATCACAACCAATTGCGAACAGCGTGAGTTGTACGGGAGGACCCCAACTGACTAGCTATAGGTACTTTCATCATGTGTAGGCGCGTCTACTGTCACACCTATGGTCCGTGCATGCCTCATGAGCGTCTTGTACTGTTAGTTGTCTCATTTCGCACTATCTTGTTAGCCAATATCAAGGTTGTGCACAGTGTACTAGTTGAGTTAGTCAGCTGTAGTCGATAGCGCACCATTGCCCCATTTTTTATCATGCACGTCCTGTTCACTTGCACGCTACCAGTTGTGCGGTGTAGCAGCTATACTTCCAATAGCTACGGTTGGCGTTATCCAACACCCCTTCTCCATTGCCCACTCTGCTTGTGCCCGAAGCTTCTTGCGAAGAGTAAGGGAGCGCACATGGGGATCACAGGCGTGGCCATTGGTTTTGGTAGGTAGTTTTATCTTGGTTTTGGTAGGTAGCTTTGATTTTACGCACTGTTTGTAATCAGCTTCTGTAATCACTTCAAGATATGTTTTTACAGTTGCAGTTGTCAGTGATTGTGCATAGGAACGAATATTCTTATGCTCAGGTGTGTATGGCATGCACAGAGAGTGGAGCATGCGCATGCGTAGAGCATGGGAGTGCGCATGTTTTAAGTGTGTGTACACGTGTGTGCGACTGCACCTAACTCAGAGTGTTAGGGTGCGCTGTCTTGATTATTCGGGTGACCAGTGATCAGTCCCACTCAATACTCGCCTGGGTGCAGCTGTGCAAAACCCTAACCCAACGGCAACACATCGCATTACCCACCCACAGGAATCGCCTTTTACATCCCCATACAAATGTTTGGCCACATCTCGGCCACCTTGAATCCCTGCATGATGTTCGCCAAATGGATCTGTGGCAAAAAAACAACCGAGGCGTGGCTGCTGCTGTCGCTGGCTGACTTCATAGGCGCCTTCTGTGGCGCGTGCATTGTTTGGGTCATTTACTTTGCCCACTTTTCCGTCATTCCCGAAGTGCCGACGGCGGTAAGCATACGTTATGCGTGCATGTTCATGAATACGTTAACTCCAGTTGTGAAAGTGCATACGTTAACTCCATTGGTGTTTGTGTGTACTGTAAAATCCTTTGTGATAAACTGGTGGGTCGTGAACACATTGGCTGCCGCACCACTATCACGTGACTTCTCCTGATTAATACTACACTAGTCACACCAATCTTATATATATATATATATACATATATATATATATATATATAGTATATATATATATATATATATATATATATATATATATATATATATATAGTATATATATATATATATATATAATATATATATATATATATATATATATATATATATATATATATATATATATATATACCTATATACCTATATATATATTATACATATATATAAATATAAATAAACATCCCCGTCTGATTTATACACAATATACCAATGCTATATGCAGGCCAAACTGGACAAGATGCGATACCAGAACACCACGTCCAAGGAAGCGTACATCTCTAATCCCGACGGCAAGGTGGACACCAGCAACCCAGTGTCGATACGTTTCTCTCGTTCGCAGAAAGAAGTCGATCGCCGAATGACACTGCAGGTGAGTCACAGGGCCATCTTAACCACAGCGCACATGAACGCAGAGACTGTTGTACTGTGTTTAAAGGTTTGGGGGTTAGTTAGCTGTGTGTCAGTTGCATTGGTTTTAGGGTCGTGCGGTGTGTTGTCCATAGGGTTTAGGGTTTGGGCTGCATGCGGTTTTGGTCGAATCTTGCGTATGATACATACGTGTTTAGCACGGTGTTATGTGTATATATATATGCATATGACTTGTATACATTTATCATATGCATGTTATATATATATATATATATGATGCATGTTATATATTTATATATATACACGTATATATTTGTGTATATATATGCATATAATGCATGTTATATATGTGTATATATGTGCATATGACTTCTATAATATTCATGTTTTGCATACATGTACATGCATATATGTAGCATATATGCAGTACGTACATAAATAGCTTGTACACAAGCAAGCACACGTGGGGACTGAAGTATGTTGCACTGTACTACTCACTTGCGCAGATCCGAGAGACCGTTAATCAGGAGCGTTTCCAGTCCGTGTCCAATCTCGCCCGCCGAGACAGCGATGGAGTAGTGCCAATGATGGACGACCTTACTGAGACCACAGACAAACCCGTTGACAAGGTGGGTGATATGAAGGTCTGTGTGACAACACAATACACACACGGGGTGTGGCATCGCAGAGCTGATCCCTTGACTAGAGACACGCGCGTGTGATGCCCTGTGGTATGAGTGTCGTGTGTGTAGTGCTATATGTAACACCACACGGTACGCTACGTCTGCCATTGATCACAGTGTGGTCGTATGACCTACACGCGTGTTTGGTGTTGTTTAGGGTATCCGCTCATGCGTAGTCAACGACTCAGCGGCAGAGTTTCTGGTACCACTTCCTTGAAGGTGACACGCGACCACGTACTAAAGACCCTAAACCCTAAACCCTGAACCCTAATATGTCACGTGGCCACTCTTTTGGCACTCACCTATGACTTGTACCACCACAGGAATCAAGTGTAAGTATCTCACAGGACCAACGGACCACCGTCAACTTCTCCGCCTCAACCGACGACACACGCAATGTAAGTGACTGCACACACGCAATGTAAGTGACTGCACATACGCAATGTAATTGAGTTTAACCTCTTTCTCTCATGTATTCTGTGTGTGGGGGGTGCGTAGGATATCATCTGAGGTGATGGTGACCATTTGAGCTTAACCTCTTTCACTCATGTGTTCTGTGTTTGTGGGGTGCGTAGGATATCATCGGAGGTGAGGATGATCAGGGCATGCCTGAGGAGTTGGTTGCGTATGAGAAATTGCTGATCCAAGACCAGAACGCAAAGCTGTCTGTCTTCTCAACACGACCCGCCATTTACAACCGCACGACCAACTTTATTGCAGAGGTGCGTGTGATGTGTTTGCTGCGGATATTAGGGATTTAATCGGTGAGATCCGATCGGATTTATAAACCCTAAAACCCTAAAACCCTAAACCCTTGCGTCCGATGCACATGCGGTTTCGTTGTGATCTGCTGAGTGGTGTTGTTTGTTTTCGCCGCCGCTGAAAAGTGTGGTGTGCTTATATGACTGAGACGTGATCTAAAACAGTTCCACTGCCTGTTGATATCTCCTGTAAACATGCGCACACACTAAGGGCCAGGAAGATATACACAGACACCCACACATAGGGGGGTGTTTGTGTTTGTGTTCGTACATCATCTGCGTCTAAATCGATGTAGGTGAAGAGTATGTCTTCCTTGCCCATGGTCACCAGTACTTGACTTACCTACTGCGATAACTAAGACACTATCAATCTGTGCATATATCTCTCCCTGTCATCTGTGGAACTGCATCATACACCATTCATCGCTGCACGTGAAGTGTCCTATATA